AAGCATTGACCTCCTGGAAAAGCAAGGCTCATGCAGTGCTTATGCAGCCTTTGAAATGCAGTATGTGGCCAGGGATATAGCTCAGTGGCACAAGTGCCTGCCTGGTAAGCACAAGGTCCTAAGTTCAATTCCCAGTACCAAAAATAATAATAATAATAAATGTCTGGAAGGAAATGGTCACCACTTGAGCACCTCTTGCAATTGTAGAGGTCTGAAATGCAGTATGTTCAGGTCCCTGTTGATTGTCTAGACTGATGAGAGGTGTTGAGAGGACAGAGATCATCCAGATGGCAGCCACATTCTGCTGAGGACCAAGACAAAGTGCGGAGATCGGGAACCAAGGCGAGCACCCGCTTAGCCATCCTCGGAAGCCCTGCTCCTGCTCTCTGCATCTGCATTGCCTCATCAGTTAATACCCAAGCCAACTCTACTCAGAATTTTCTTTAATTCTCAAAAAGCAGAAACCTTGCGGTGCTGGTTTTGTTGACATTAATTTCAGGCACAAATGAAATTTCTGTCTTTTTTTTCTGGGGAAACTATACCCTATAATTGACAGAAGTTTTTTTAATCGATATTACTAAATTGCACAAAATTATATTCTGGGTTACTAAGATGAATATAATCAACGTTTCATGTATCTGTGCTATTGGATACAGACAGGAAACAATAGACAAATTTCCCCAGTACAATGCTTACTTGGGGGAACTGCTGCTCTTTATCACCAGGATTCTGCAGTGTAGTAATGAATATAATGAGAAGAGCCTGAGATGTAAAAGCCTTTCCCAGTGTCAAGGTAACTAAATCAATATGCCCACTTTGGCTGCTCTAATTGCCTAGGTTAGTACAGATAAAAGAGAAGAACATTAAGAAGTAATTGGAAGGAATTAAATGAGCTATAAAGAAGATATCTGTGTACAGAAGAAAAAAGAAGAACTCAGAAGTCTAAAGCGATCTAGAAATAAATTAGGTATATCATACAGCTCTTCTCAAAGAGCCATTCCTGCTCTCACACCCCCTAGTCAAGGAGGTGGCAGGCGGGACAGTGCGGAAGCACAGGCCTGGGCCCAGGAGACCATCGGCCCTTTGAATAGACACTGAGGGCTCTGCCAACTTGGGAGTGCTCTTGGTGTTATTAAAGAAATATAAAAGCACAATGAACACAGGCGAAGTTACCCAGATAATGTATATGAACACCCACAGACAGGAAGAGAAGTGCTAGAAACGTTATTGTGTTTTTGGAACAGTCCATTTGAGACATTCCAATTTTAAAGACCGAGCCAATTGGCCCTGTTCTGCTGTGGACCACTTTCTGTATATTAGAGTAGGAGAAATAAACTTTGAAATACCCCTCAAGGAAAACACAGCTACTGAAATAATCCATGTTGCTTTGGAGTTATTACTAGCTTTTGGAAATCATCAAACATTGACCTTAGAAGGAAAAACAAAGAAACAAATAAGAAGAAATGCGAAGAACTTGACTTTCAAGGGACCACATGAGGAGCTCTGCAACCCAGCTTTCCCACAGAAACAACCAGAGTTGGTTTTTAAAGAAAAGAGAGGGAGAGAACAAAGATTATTTTTTAAAATAAAAGCCTCTGGAAATTTTCCTAAGGACATACAGCAAGGAAACAGACTCTAATTTAGAAAATCTATTAAATCTCGGTCAGAAGGGTGAGCGTCTGTGGCACTTGAGCTACAATTCTTTCCTTCTTCCCCTGCCCCAGTTCAGTGTGATGGAGACGCTTCCCCAATTCCCAGGGAGACAGGACTCCCTCCCTCACCTCACAGCCAAGGACTACAGTGGTTCTGGGAGCTACCAGCCATCAGCGTCAAGGTTGTAGAGCCTGACTCAAGGAGAGTGGAGCCAAGAAATCCCGGTATCTCTACCGTTCTCCAGCTACCCCTCCTAGCTGGAGTTGCAGCCAAGAACACTGGGTTCCTGATCGCCCTCACCCTTGCTTGGTTAGTTGGAGGGTGGAGAGAAGAACACAAAAAGGAGTATAGACTGCTCCTCCCACCAAGGAACCTGCTTGTTAAAAGAAAAGGAGAAAAAGACTTTGACAGACGATTCACTGAAGAAGATTGTTATGGTTGATACCTTGTGTCAACTTGGGGAGTCTAGAGGTTTGGCTGAGTGACTCAGCAGGAAGCCAGGGTGCTTACTTCCTATACATCCTGAGCCTGTGGAAGAGGAGGGCATGGAGATTATGTGAGAGCTACATGCCCTTTGGTTGTGGTTGGCTTTTTTCCAAGTTAGGGCGGGGAAGGAGGTTGTTTGCTGCCTTTCTTCCTTTTGCTCTGGCTGTTTGCTGTTCGGCTGCCGTTCCCCCCTTTGCTCTTGTTGCTTTGTTATCTTCTGCCTCGGAGCCAGCCAAGTATGGCCTGAAACCTTCACAAACTGTAAGCTAGATAAACCTTTCCTTCCTTCATTTTGGGCGTTGGGTATTTTGTCTCAGCAATGAGAGAAAAGTAACCCAAGACAAAGATACACCAAATAAGCAAATAAGCACGTGAAAAGATGCACCAATTGTATGTCACCCAGGAAATACAAACTAAAACAATAGTGAGATCCCATTATACTGCTGGTGAGAAGATGGACACAAGAATTCTCATTCACTGCTGGTGGGGATGCTGCAAGGTGGTATGACACTCTGGAAGACAGTTTCATAGTTTCCTACAAAGTTAAACATGACCTCACCATATGACCCATTAATCATGCTCCTCCATATCGAACTCAAAGGAGTTGAAAACTTATATCCACACAAAAACCTGCTCATGGATGTTTATGCTAGCTTTAATGTCAAGAATTGGAAGCAACCAAAATGTCTTTCAGTAGGTGAGTAGATGAATGAGCTGGAGTATATCCGGGCAATAGAATATCATCCATTCTACAAAGAAATGGGCTACTATAAGAAGACATAGGAGATGCTTAAATATATATTTCTGAGTAAAAGAAATCAATTTGCAAAGGATATGTACTGTATAATTTCAACTCTAGAACATTTTGGAAAGTCCAAAACTGGATACAATAAAAGGATCAGTGATTGCCAATGGTTGAAGGATAAATAAATGGAACACACAGCATTTGTAGGACAGGGAGACTAGTCTATACTTGACACTATCATGGTGGATACATGCCATTACACACTTGTCAAAACATATTAAACATTTTCCACAGAATGTATAGCACTGAGAGTGAACCCTGGTGTAGGTTGTGCACTTTCAGTGATGATATGCCCATCTAGGTTCGTCAGTTTTACGAAAGGTACCACTCTGCTGTGCGTATAGATAATAGGAGATGTTCTGCACATATAAACGTCTGGGCATACAGGAAAACTCTGTACCTCCCTTCTGCTGTGAGTTCCCAAGGGTCTAAGAAAATTAAGTCTTAAAAAGAAAGATGGATCAGCTGGGAAATTATTGGAGCCTAATAGCTAAGTGTGATAGTAACAGAGGCAAACACCTTAACAGAGAGTTCAGGGAAAGACACAATGAAAGATAATTTTTTAAAACAATAGAAAAAAAAGTTAATGTAAATGCTGCCTTCTTGGTATTTACATCAAATATAAGTTAAATAAATGTACCAATTAAAAGGCAGATATCAGCTGAACGGATATTTTAAAAATTTGATCCAACTATATGCTCTCTACAAGAGATTACTGCTGTCATGTTAGATTCAAAGACCCAACTAGGTTGAAAGTAAAAGTATGGGAAAAGGTATGCTATGCAAAAAAGTAAACAAAAACAAATAACCAAAGAAAGCCACTGAAGTGGCTATCCTGATAACAAACAAAATTACAGCACGTAGGAAAGCTGTGTAGTTCAACCCTAAGTAGTTGGAGGTTGTAGCTCCTCACTAACTGATGAAACAAACAGAATATTAACAAGCACAGCGTACAGAATTTGTGGGATATTCCACCAAACAACAACAGAACGCACACACTTTGCAAGAACAAGTAAACAGACTAAATACCAGAGTGACCGTAAAAAAAGTCTCAGTAAAATTAAAAGAATTGAAATTATGCAAAATAGGCCCTGTGAGCACCACAGAATCAAGTTAAAAACCAAAAACAGAAACAAACATAAGCAATTCCCAAATATTTGAAACTTTAAACCAGCCATGAACAACAAAAGAGATGACACAGAAAATTAGGAAGTATTTTTAACTTAATGAAAATGGGGTTCTAGTACATGCGAAATTTAAGCAATGCCAAAAACAGTGCTTGGGGGGCGAGCTTTGGGGAGTAGAGTTTTTCTACCTTAGTAAATATTTGTGTTTGAGTGAGGTACTAGCTTATAAGTGAAATATCAAGATTAGAATATATGTGAATACCCAAAAAGGCTGAAAATAAAAGTATGGGAAAAGATTTGCTATACAAAAAGCAAACAACTTTTGTAATAACAATTGTACTGTGAGTAGCTTTGTAATAGCAACTGTGACTGACACAGTACATACTGTTCACACCTTTATGACGTAGGCTCACCCATGCTACCCAGGAATATTCACTCAATTGTTACACAAAGTGAAGTAAGTTATCAAGGGACTATTATGCTATAAACTACTGAAACAAGTCATTTTCCTGCAAACCCAACTTTGAGCAAATTCTATTTTTTATTGACGTATAACAATTGAGTATTTTAATGGAGGACAGTATGATAACTGGATGCATATGTACAATGTGTGATGTTCCAATCAGGGTAATCAGCATTTCCATGCTTCAAAATCTACTTTACAGAAAATGAAATTAGAACAAGTTTACAAGGCACAGGATAAAGCAAGAAAAAAATACAGCAAGCAAATAAACAGCTTTATCAGAAATACTTAGATGGCTGAACTACAAGTTGGTAACATAATACAGTCCAATTCCAACCTCCATTATTTTCTACTTAGCGAATAGAGGAGAGAGTCTTACAGATTTGGGTTTCCTTCACTCACCAAATAAAATATGAAATGTAAAAACCAGATGAAAGATCAGACTGTAAAAGTTCTAAAATCTTACCTCCATCAGAACGAAGAGTGCTGCAAAGAACAGAAGGGTCGCCCATTCCACCCTGTGCAGAATCATCTCAAAATCATGGATATCAGCTAGAACTAGCAACCAGATGGCACCCAGAATAGCGATCCATCCTGAAATACAAATCAATGGACAGACAGACATAGTTTGTGAACACACTAATTAATTTTTGTTCTCTGATTTATTCTTTAATGAGCAGAATTACTGGAAACTGCATATATTTAAAGTGTACAATTTCTATTTTGACTTACACACATACTTGTGAGACCAACACTTCAGTCAAGACCATGAGCACATTCATCACCCCAGAAGTTCATGCGTGCTGGGCTCTGGGCTCTGTAGTCCTTGTTACCTCACACACCTCCAGGAAAGCACCCGTCTTTTCTCCCACTCTAGACTACTTCACATTTTCTATAGTCTCTATAAGAATAGATCCTCAATTAATCATATCGCATGGATTTTTTTTTGTCTGACTGTTCCTCAATGGACATATCAACCAGGTAGAAAAATCAATATTTGACATAATTATTCTAAGATTCCTCAGTGTTCATACGTGGATCAATAGCTTAGTAATTTCCACTGTTCAGTAGTACACCATTTCACGGCTATGCCGCAAGGTTCATACTGTTCGCCCACAGGGGATGTGTGAGTTAGGCTACCGTTCAGCTGTCACAGGTGAGCATGCTACGAGCTTTCATTCATAACTGCTTGTAAATGCATGGTTTTACAGTTAGGTGTCTGAAGTCTCATAAATCCAAAGTCATGATTAAAAAAAAGAAAGGAGGAAGACGTTGTGTTCAGAAAGAGCATTGTCATAGGTAGCAATGGGTTGGAGCACATGATGGGCTGATATTAGGAAACACTTATGTTTTGAGAAGCTACAAAATTGCACTAGAAAATCATTTTACAGTCCCACCAGCAGTGCATGAGAGTTCCATTTCCTGTACATTTTCACCACAACTTGATCAGTCTTCTTACTGTATCGAGATTCCAGCGGATGTGAGATGGTGTTTATCACTGTTTGGAGTCACATTTCTCCAATGACTCATCATGTTGAGCATCTTCTTGTGTAATTATTTCACCCATATATCTTCTTTCGTGAAATTTTTGTCTAAATGCTCATTTTTAGTGGAGCAAATAAAACCCAAAATAAACAAAAGGAAAGAAATAATAAAGATTGAAGCAAGAATAAAGAACAGAAAATGGAAAAATATTAGGGAAAAGCAATACCAAAAGCTGGTTCTTTGAGAAAAGTAGTAAGACTGATGAACTACTAACCAACCTGAGTAGTACATAAAGTGAGAAAACAAAATTGCCAATATCAAGAAAAAGATCAATGACATGACCACAGATTTCTCTGGATTTAAAGAAGTGTATTATCTTTCTGCAGCTGCCATAACAAAGAATCATAGCAGCTTAAGACAATGCCTATTTGTTAGGCCAAAGTTTTCATAGGTCAAGAGTATGATGGTTTTACAGTTAGGTGTCTGACTGAAGTCTCATAAATCCAAAGTCACGATTAAAAAAAAGAAAGGAGGAAGACGTTGTATTTGGGAAGAGCAGTGTCATTCTGGGGTCGGGGGTAGATTGTAAGACTTTACACAGCTGGCAAAGACGTCAGGGCCTCATTCTGTAGACAGAGAGAAGTCAGGTCTCCAAAGCAGAGGACCAGCCTGGCTTGTTCCTCTCCCCGCCCCCCAAGTTTTTTTTTTTTTTTTTTTAAGAATAAAAGAAGGAAAACATATTAACAAATAGAAATCTACTTACAAAACAGCATTAGAACAATACATGCAATACAGAGTTACAGACAAAGTGGTAGGAAATTAACAATGCTTGTTGTATTACGTATTGATATCTTCAAAGTGGTTTCTCAGGAAAACCAACAGAAACATGCAAGAGTGATCAAATAATTAATCATTAATTGCTCCTTTCAGTATAGCGACAGAAGTCAGTAGTACAACTATGTTAGCTATCCTGTATATACATACATACATACATAATTTCCCCTTCTTTCTTTTCTCTTTTCCCACACCCCAGTTGCCCTTTACTTTTGAGCATTTTCCTTTCATTTCACAATGTCTGGCCTGTTTTTTCCTAAGGTGTCAACTTCGCTGGCCTGACTATACTTTGTTACTTGTCTGCAAATCCCGCAGAGCACCTCCCACGGCACAGAAGACAGACACACTGAATGCTTGATTCCTTGGTTACTCCCCTGAAGACTTCTTTGCAGCTTACTTGCTTTTTTAAAAAAACTCTTGCCCCCCCAAATTGCATAAGTGCACTTTCCCTGGGTTATGCTTTTCTGCAATCAGAAAGCCTTCCTTTTGTTTGCCCTGCCATATGGCAATAGGGATCTCTCTCTCTAAAAGTCGAAACATAAGTTATTTTCCACAGGCCCAGGAAATTCAGTCAAGACAGGCTGCTGGATGCTCCCCTGGGACTCAGTACAGCTTCATTTTCTCTCATCTCTTCTGAATTTTCACCTGTTTAAAAGCCCTGCCATCGCACTTCTGAGTCCAAGCTCAGAACAGATGCTCTTCTCACGGAGCTTTGTCTCGTCAGGAAGATTCCCTGCGATCACCTACAGTGATGAAGGTGCGCTTGCCCCGACAAAGCTCCATTTCTCCCTTAATTTTAAACACACTACCTGCAGAGCTGGCGGCAATAATCAACTATTTCAGCTGCCTGAACAAGCGTATCTGCCTGTGATGCCTGGCCCCCTCCACTGAGGAGCGACGTGGCACATTGCAGGGACCCCCAGGCCGCTGTCAGCACCCTTCCATCCTGCTCTCACTCAGCACTGGCTTCCCAGTGTCAGGGAGAAGGGGTGAGGGGGTGGGGTAATTTGGAGTGTATGCAAAGGAGAAAACCACTGCTAGAAGCAGCATCATTTCCGGCCTTCACATTCCATTACAATTCTAGCAATGTGCCATTGAGACGACTCTTCTAAAATTTAAAAGATTACTTGAGTGTCGGTGAATAAGGATTAAAAGCTGCATTCGCTGGACTTATCTTTATCCTGTGAAGCTGCTATCAAACCCCCTCCTTGAATGAACATCCGCCGCTCGCCCCGTCTGCCGTTCCTTAGAAGCACAATCTGCAGTTAAGCGCTCTCTTGAGCTTCAGCAGAGCGCTTCGCACTCCGGTTCAGATGAACGTCGGACCGGCACTGCCATCCTCAGGGCCAGTGTCCTTGGAGCTCACCCACCATCTCGGGCCAGCACGGCCCATGAGGAAACAGGGGCCCCGGAGATTCGCCGGCATCCTTCAGGTTACACAGCTTGCTGGGGCAAAGCCAGGATTCAACCCCCAGTTTGTAGAATTTTTCTGCATGCCAGTGTGCACAGACGAGATGGAATGTTTTCACTACTTACAAATAAATCTGTTTCATTCAGCCAGAATCTCTCCCAGAAATGTGGTTTATTTACTATAGTGAGAAATCTCACATAATTTTGTTATCTGGAATCTTATAGTCGTTTTATACTGAACATAGCAAACATGTTCTTCACCTGGACATTTTGCTGTTGCCTGTAACCAAAAGCAATGCCATACTGATGAATCTACTCTCTGCAGGTACGAGGAGCTCACCGGCACGTTGAAAGCCGCACAGCAGTGGCTCCAGACAAATACCTCACCGGGGCAGTCCCTTACCCAGTCCCACTCACACAGGGAGCACGTGGCTCAGAGGCCCCAGGACAGAGACAACCGTGGAACAAAGCAAGCGTGCTCCTGGGTCAACTCGGGACCTGCTCCTGATCAAAAATGTGTCGTGTATTCTTCCCTACCCTCTCATTCTCAAGACCATCTGATCAGCCTCGAAAACTGGAGCTGCCCTGGGCAGCATCTTCAACACTGAACTAGATGAGAAAATAAAGCTGCCAGGGATCAGCACAGAGGGACAGAGGAGAAACTCCTGGGCCCTTAACCTGTTACTCATGAAAGCAATGATTTGTGTTTTCTCCTGAGATAGTTAGCGACTTAACACTGATTTTACTGAAAACAGTACCTATTCATTCTGGCCTGCAGACGCCCAGTGGGTAATTAAAGCCGCATAAAGCTTGAAATGCCTCCCTTTACTTTGTTTCTCTCTCTTTTATTATCTGAAGACTTTGGATGAGATTTCTGCTTAGTTTTGCAGGTAGGCATGTTAATCACTGAAGGAATCTCTGTCTAAAACCTGATAACACCAGATTTATTAGCTCTAAATTTATATAACCTACCTCATCCACCTTCCAGACCAGGGACACAAAGATAAGAGACCTGAAGGAACATCTAACCACCAACTTCCAGCCCCCGGCATGAGCGTCCCCTGAACCTACAGACACCCCCAGTGCAGTAGAACCTCCACCCATCTGAGGCTGTCCACAGACAGAAAGAACCATCTTGTGGCAACTAGATTATCCCCTCCAAATGAGGTAGGAGAAAAAAGTAAAGATAGGTAGAAAGAAGGCAGAGAAAATCACAATATTAAAACTGTACACCGAAGAAAAACTGCAGCTTCAGGACACAAAGTTATCCAAGGTCACAACGCCTCGTTCTCCGCCGGGAAACTCACTACCACAGACGCCCCCAGAGGTCTTAGCATGGGGTCCCTGCGCTTCCCCACATCCCACCCTCCCGGAGGCCGCCCTGGGAAGCGCGCAGCAGGGCTCTAACTTCAGGTGGGAACAGTCTGCATTCTAACCAGGCCCAGCCCGGGCAACCTGGCACAGCAGGGACTCACACACTGGACGTCTGGAGACCACACCCAAACCCCAGTCCCACACCAAAATGTGCCTCTCTCTGAGGGTCCACACTCTATTTTCTCCAGAATGAGCTTCTTTAATTCTGCCAGACACACCTTTCTAAGGCCTCTCACTGAAGTACCCTGGAATTCTTTTCTGGGACATAAGTCAGCGAACCTCAATCTACTCATTGGTGGGCGATTTGAGGTCCCTTTCTCCACCTAGAGGAACCTCCTTGGAGCCCATACTATGAGTTTTCAAATGCAGAACGCCCTCTGGAGTTGTCAAGCCACAAGTGAGATAATCCAACAGACCCTAGCCCACCTCAGGACCCCGTAACACTGACCTCCTCTGGTTGTTACCAGGCCACTGACCTGAGTGCTGGGCCC